CAGTGTCAGTTCTTACCTATATGCAAATATATAATATATATATATATATTAGGAAAAGTATATTCATGTGCACAACCCAACTTTGCATCAGGCCAGGCGCAAGTCAAACGAGCGAGGAAAAGACTCACTGACTAGATCAACAGGGAATGCAAACAGTGAATATAACATGATGCAGAGGCAATTAAAGCAGCGTTAGAACGGAACATGTTGAAGCTCGTTGAAGGCTGCAGTAGTGGATAAATTGGTTGGAGTCGGTTTATAATCTAAGATAAACTAGTTAAAATAATGCATATTCACAGAAGCAAATTTAGTGTGTTTGTTATTCAGAACGAATTTAAGCAGCATAGTAAATGTCAAGACATTGCGCCTGTGCTTACATTTTACTCTGTTACAGTCCTACACTGTATTTCAGATTTACACATGTGCAGTATTATTTAAATTAATGAATCATGTTACATAAAGAAAAGGTGGTTTACGTTCAATAAGCATATGCTAAATGTCATTCTTGTTACATTACTTAATATTTGACATAAATACAAATACATTTAATAATTCCTACATGAAATGTAATCATTTCTGCATGTCACGGACGTACTTTGTTATCTGTCCTTGTTTAACAGGACAGAGAACTACACTTTTAGAGTTTGCTGTAATTGTACAGTTACTTACGGCAAAAAAAAAGGCCAGTAAAACACCATAAATATTTTTTACAGTTAACTACTGTAATATGCACTGCATTATGGGCATTTTTATGTAATTTACAGCAAGTTACTGTATATGGGAATTTGCGGTACTTTACTGTTTACTCAAAAGCAGTAGTGCTACTGTAAATTGTTCTGCTGATGAAAAACATGAATCTGCATTCAATGCCTGGGTAAGCGCAAGTGTGGTGAAATAAATGTAATTTTTAAATGATTAAAAAATAAAACTATATAAAAATAGCTTACACCCCACAAAATTACAATTTTATTTGCGTGCAATGCCCGCGCAACAACCTGCCTGGCAGGGTTATATAAACTGAGGTTTGTTTCCGGTGCGGACTTCCCTTCTGAGTGGATCGCCAGATGTCATCTGCGAGTTTTCCTGTGGTAGATACTTTTTACTTTACAACTTACTTTTAAAACGTAAACCATTACCAATATCAATGAAATTAAAAAATATAAAGAAAGTAAATACAATCTAATTATAGGCTATTACTAGGACAGTGGGAACTGTTCGTTTTCATCAAAAACTGCCGCTTTCATGAAACTCATTAAATTGTCATACAACTGACTGACTACACAATCTAGATGTACCCAATCTAGTATTTACACAAACTAAAAAAAAATATTTTTCGGCTTTTTTTACTGCCAGTTATGGTTTAACTTGGGACTCACTCCATGCCAGAGTAATTTCTCCGCTTGCTGCTCCACAGTCAGGGGGCGCTAACACTGCACCTGCATCCCTGCTCATGATTTGCTGTTTTCCTATTGACTAAAATGTGGTTTAATGTCTTGTATGGTTATTTTTAGTTATAGAATCATATTTTTCTACAAAATGTACAAATGGTCTCCGGCTGCTAATTGACCTGTACATGGACACTACTGGCTTCACGTGTACTTGATGTGTTTACATAGTGTGGTTAAAATAAATTATGTTTAGTGATCCTACTATTTAATATAAATGTTAAAAAAAAACTTTATTTTATAATTATTATCGCTACTGTGCAGTTACTTTCAAACAAGTAATGTCAAGATTATAGGTAATGCCTATCTTCTATCTACTGTTATCCACTCTCTGTTATCTTCAGCTGTCATCATACCTACAAATCACCTGGAAATTGTAATTGCTTAATTGAGAAATATGTGCCTGATTAAACATACAGCTTTCAGTTCAAATGTTAGACCTTTCTAGGCTTTTTACAGTAACATACTGGCAACACTGTTGCTTACAGTAAGATACTGAAATGGCTGTTCCCTTTCATGGGAACTTCGAACTGCGTCCTCTATGGGGAACGCCTCGTCGTGACCCGTGTCTGAAGCATACATTCAAAAAACACCAACTCGTTGGCCGGCGACAGCCATGACGTCACTACCGGTGCGACTATAGTATAAATAGGCGCCGGGAGCACACATCATCCTCTTCTTCATCTTCATTGACTGTTTTGTTTGAAGCGTGCATTTCTGTGGTAAGAGCGATCTCTATTCATCTCATTATGGCGAGCACTAGCAAAGCGTTTAAGGATGTGTGCATCCGTGTTGACGTTGTTTAACATCTGATGACACACACGATCTATGCGTTATTTGTTTGGGTGAAGAGCACGCACGCGATGTCTCCGAGGGGGCAATCGGCGTGCACAAGCTCTGCTCTCGTTTGTCTCTCTTTTCGAGGAAAGACGGGCAGCCATCTGCTTCCCACTGCTGAGGCACGGAGGAGAATGAGCTCATGGGGATCGCAGGTGGATCTAGCTGATGAGTTTGAAGAGGGGTTTCCCTCTTGCGATCGTCGGCACTGGACGAGAGTGAGCCGCTGGAGAATGATGTTATTTCATTAACATTGTCTGATCCAGGGGCCAGTGCTCTGCTGGGGTCAGCCAAGGAAGAGCAAGAGATGTCTGAGGAGGGCAAAGAAGCTGAGGCTGAGCCTGCCCAATCCTCCTGCCCTGCGTATGATGAGCTTTTGAAAGTTATGGATCGCGCCACGGCGGGCGAAGAAAGTGACGTCGCGAGGTCATCTCAATGAACGTTAATTTTTCTGGCCATAACCCTCCAGCTCAGGTGAGCCTTCCTTTCTTCCTGTTTTCCATACAGAGATTGAGAAGGAATTGAAGAGGTCGTTTTTTCCTCACGCATCCATCGATTCCAGTATATGAGCTATGCCAACATCGAGGCGATGCGCGGTTATGAGAAGATGCCCCTATAGAGAGATCCTTCGGGGGTCTTACATCTGCCCTTATCTTCCCCTTCCTAATTCCCCTGTAACCCCCATCTCTCCACCTGACCGAGGTTAGGTGGGAATCTCCTGCATTATAGTCTCATATGCTGGACCTATGATGTTTGGTTGGTTCTATGACCATCTTACTAATGAAGGGTAGGTCCTCTGTGAGCACCCCCTCTGCTGGATTCAGAAACCGGGTGCTCGACTTGCAGTGTTTCTCTCTCTCGTCGATATACAGGTGCATCTCAATAAATTAGAATGTCGTGGAAAAGTTCATTTATTTCAGTAATTCAACTCAAATTGTGAAACTGGTGTATTAAATAAATTCAATGCACACAGACTGAAGTAGTATTACTAGTAACAACTATGATTAGAGAGCTCTCTAATTCAATTATTACTAACGATTCCAATTTAGAGAGCTCTACAAATGATTTTTTATTTGTCTCCATTGACTTCCATTCATTTTTAATTACAGAGCTCTACAACTGAATTTTTACTAAAAACATATTGTTCAGTCAAACAGTTTTTAATGATGAATAGCAGTGCTGAGGCTGTAATGATGTGTTAATTATTATTATATTATAAAATTATTATGCTTTACAGAGAAGAAATATAGATCGTATATGTACTGTAAGTTATTTTTTAAAGGTGAATTCAGACCAGCGATATGCATATTTACTTAGTGGTTGTAACATTTTTGTTTGGCATTGCAAGGGATTTACTCACATTATTCACTCACAAAATAATGCTGAGGCTAGGTCCTGTTACATAGTCATTTGAGCTAGGAGTGTGATAATATCGTAATTGTTGTTTTAATGCCAGCTGACATTGATCAGGTCACTCACATTGCAAAAAAAAGTCAAAAAGCATTTACTGCATGATGAAGCCTATATTTAATTTTAGGAGCTCTGTATGTTGTCATTTCAAGAAAAGAAAAAATCCTTGAGACAGATGACTGTACTATATAGGAACCCTACTAAGTAAAATTATATTATTTAATCAAATCATTATTTTATGTGTTTGTATTTATTTATTTGGTAGGCAGTCATGTAATAGGCATGGTTAGCCCAAAATGTATGCAAGAAAACCCCCTTCAATTCCAGGTCCTGCTTACTTTACATTTAGTCTAAAATACTGTAATGCTGTCATCCTAAGGAGATTCTCATTGTCTGTGACACATAAACACTGCTGACCGTAGTGGGGTGTCTTTGAAGAGTGACCAGTCAAGGAATCCTGACATTAATTTCAAAGAGAGAAACTCTTTTGCTGAAAAGAGGTTAGTATCACGGTTTAACAGGTCTAGCAGGTTTTGAACTGGCTTAACTTAAACCAAATGTGATGATTATCTGAATTGTGCAATGAAAAGTACTATGTAAAGTGGTTACACGTCAAATAATCACTTAATAATTGACTGACAGAAATCTGAATTTACATTGTATGTTAATGCCAGGTGTAAAGCATGTATGTAGTCTACAGAATATATTATAGGTAAATGTATACAGGGCAACTGTAAAGACAGTACATAGTAGAAAATTAAATGAAAAGTTGTTAACATGCAGTGTAAATATTGATAAACTCTTTCTGATGAACTACAGTGACAGCCATGATGTGCCTCACTCCTCAAGTAAAAAACTCAAGAATGCAGTCTTTAAGGTGTGTATTTGTCGGTTTTATGGTGGTTACTTGTCTGCTTTTATTGAGGTTATTGTGTGTGGGTGTAGACACATTTGAGTCATTAACACAACCACGTTTTAACTCATGTGATTCATGTGATGATGTTCCTTAAACACTGATTTCAGATGCTTAAGCGCACAGTAATTTCTCTGATTAAAAATGAACTAAAGAAGTTTAAGAAAATGCTGAGCCCAGATTACCCAGCATGCTCTGTGAGAGAGGAAGAGGATGATGAAGATCAGACCGATGTCAGAGATGCGGCTCTGAAGATCACACTGCACGTCCTGAGGAAGATGAACCAGACAGACCTCGCCAACTCATTACAGACCAGTAAGAGCTCTGGGCCGTATAATAAGTGTATCTGTTTTACCTTAAAGAGTGCATGAAATCCTATTCTAAACCCATTTTTCTAAACCAACTTCTGTGATATGACAAAACATTTTCTCAGTTGCCTTTCAGGCTTGATAGATCTCGTTGAATGTGCATTTTAATCTATTTGCATTGATAACATGCTTTAACACAACCAAAATTACAAGGGTTCATATAAGAATGTCTTTAGTAAATCGGCATTCCTGTACCTCAAATTGTACATCAAGACACTAACAATAGAAAGGTCATGGATTAAATTTGTCGGGAATGAATGAACTGATATAATATGCACAATTGAATTCAATGTTAGTCACTTGGATAAAATGCTTAAATGTAAATTAAAAAGATGATTTTAATGTACATGATGCTTTAATTGCCAAACATGACTGAATGCCCTTCTGTCTACCAGAACTGACCCCCATGAGTCATCACATACTAAAATCCAGTCTGAGGGCGAAATTTTGCAAAATTCATGAAGGAATTTCACTGCAAGGAAAAACAACTCTTCTGCATGAGATCTACACAGAGCTCTACATCACAGAAGGAGGGAGGGGAGAGATGAGTTTTCAACATGAGGTGAGACAGATTGAGACAACATCCTGGACACCAGAGACACCGGAAGCACCAATCAAATGCAATGACATTTTTAAAGCCTTACCTGGACAAAACAAGCGCATCAGATCTGTACTGACTAAAGGAGTTGCTGGAATTGGAAAAACAATCGTTGTGCAGAAGTTCATTCTGGACTGGGCTGAAGGAAAAGACAATCAGAATGTCCACTTCATATTTCCACTTCCTTTCAGGGAGCTCAATTTGATGAAGGAGAAAAATATTAGTCTGATGGAGCTTCTCCGTCAGTTTTTCACAGAGCTAAGATTACCAAATTGTGATGACTATAAAATCATATTCATATTTGATGGTCTGGATGAGTGTCGATTTCCTCTAGATTTCCAGAACAATGATATCTTATGTGATGTAACAGAGTCAGCCTCAGTGGATGTTCTCCTGACGAACCTCATTAAGGGCAATCTGCTTCCATCTGCTCTCCTCTGGATCACCTCTCGACCAGCAGCAGCCAATCAGATCCCTGCCGAGTGTGTCGACAAGGTTACAGAAGTACGAGGTTTCAATGACCCTCAGAAGGACGAGTATTTCAGGAAGAGAATCAGTGACCAGAGTCTGGCCAATAGAATCATCACACATGTCAAATCATCAAGGAGCCTCTACATTATGTGCCACATCCCAGTCTTCTGCTGGATTTCAGCCAATGTTTTAGAGAGAATGTTGAGTGAAGCAGAGAGTGCAGAGATCCCCAAGACTCTCACTCAAATGTTCACACACTTTCTAATCTATCAGATCAAACAAAGAAGCCAGAAATACCAAGAAAACGTTGATATAGATCTTCAGCAGACAACAGAGAATGTATTTTCCCTGGGAAAACTTGCTTTTCAACAGCTAGAAAAAGGCAACCTGATCTTCTATGAGGCAGACCTCAGAGAGTGTGGTATTGATGTCAGAGAAGTGTCAGTGTATTCAGGACTGTGTACCCAGATCTTCAGAGAGGAGTTTGGACTGTACCTGGGGAAGGTGTACAGCTTTGTACATCTCAGCTTTCAGGAGTTTCTTGCTGCTCTATTCAAGTTTCTTTCCTTAATCCTAAAACCTACCAAGCATTTTAAACTATTTAGCTCCACAATGACTGATTTGCTAAAAAGAGAAGTGGACAGAGCCTTGCAGAGTGACAATGGACACCTGGACCTTTACGTTCGATTCCTTCTGGGCCTCTCATTGGAGTCAAATCAACGTCTCTTACAAGGCCTACTGACACATACAGGGAATGTATGCCTAATAAACAAACAAAAAATCATTAAATATCTCAAGGAGAAAATCAAGGATAATCCCTCTCCAGAGAAATCCATCAATCTGTTCCACTGTCTGAATGAACTGAATGATCATTCCCTAGTGCAGGAAGTCCAAGCATACCTGAAGGAAACAGGTCCCAGTGGTCTCTCTGGAGTGAAACTCTCTCCTGCTCAGTGGTCGGCTCTGGGGTTTGTGTTGCTGAACTCAGAAAATGAGCTGGATGAGTTTAAGCTGAGTAAATATGATCAATCAGAAGAATGTCTTCTGAGACTGCTGCCAGTGGTAAAAGCTTCTAGAAAAGCGGAGTGAGTATGTGTACACTATATCTGTAAAAAAAAAGATATATATATTCTTTGTATTCATGATGGGTTCATATGTTATGCAAAAACTTTTATACCATTTAAAAAAAAACTACTGACACATACAGGGAATGTATGCCTAATAAACAAACAAAAAATCATTAAATATCTCAAGGAGAAAATCAAGGATAATCCCTCTCCAGAGAAATCCATCAATCTGTTCCACTGTCTGAATGAACTGAATGATCATTCCCTAGTGCAGGAAGTCCAAGCATACCTGAAGGAAACAGGTCCCAGTGGTCTCTCTGGAGTGAAACTCTCTCCTGCTCAGTGGTCGGCTCTGGGGTTTGTGTTGCTGAACTCAGAAAATGAGCTGGATGAGTTTAAGCTGAGTAAATATGATCAATCAGAAGAATGTCTTCTGAGACTGCTGCCAGTGGTAAAAGCTTCTAGAAAAGCGGAGTGAGTATGTGTACAGTATATCTGTAAAAAAAAAAGATATATATATTCTTTGTATTCATGATGGGTTCATATGTTATGCAAAAACTTTTATACCATTTTAAAAAAAGCCTACAATTATTGATGTGGTGTAAATATTTAATTCAGTCACACTTACTGTAAGTTTGGGGACAAATTCTCACTATTAACTAACTATTAATTAAAATGTTTGCCTCAGTAAACTCCTAATTTGATGCTTAGTAATAGTTAGTAAGGCTTAAGTTCAGGTATGGGGTAGAGATTAAGGGAACTAAAATATGCTCATGCAGAATAAGGCATTAAAATGTGTTTTATAAGTGCTAAGTGCAGGATAGTTGTATGATCTTGACATTTTTTTACCCCGTCAAATTAATTTTAATTCATAAATTTAAAAACATGCTAAAGTGACTGAGTGTATGAATTGCATTTTTAAAGTATTAATGTATGTAATGTATTGAATAATGTATTTATTGCATTTGAATATGTTAATAGGATAAATAAACAGGACAACAAAGCCATGTAAACCTGTAAACCAAAGGTGCAGGAAGATTGTAGGATAACTAGGTGCAACTGGGAAAGGAATAGGGAAGTTAAAGTGGATGATAAAGGGAAGAAAAATTAATGAGTGTGATGAGATGCAGTAACAGATTTGATGAAAGAGATTGTACTCCTTATTGACATACAAACTAAACTGAACATTGACACAGCCTTCCTGAGATGAAACCCAGCATACTGTAAGATAGCACATTATTAAGATTGTTGATCAAATTAAACATTTCCATTATTTCTCTCCCAGGCTGTGTGATTCTAATCTGACTGAGAAGAGCTGTTCAGCACTGGCCTCAGTCATTAGCTCAAACTCCTCAAGTCTGGCTGACTTGGACATGAGCAACAACAACCTGCAGGATTCAGGAGTGAAGCTGCTCTGTGCTGGACTGAAGAATCCACAATGTAAACTGGAGACATTACAGTATGCTGTCTTACATTTTGTAGTGATGAGTATTTTGAACATGTATCTCCACCCAAAATATCTAGTTTTATTTCTGCTGAATGGGACATTCTGGAGAGGTACATAAGAGCAAAACAACATTATAATTTAGTTAGGAAGAGTGTTAAGAGTCATTTTCTTTGCAGGTTGTCAAACTGCCGTATTACAGTGGATGGTTGTGCTGCTTTGGCTTCAGCTCTGAGAACAAATCTCTCACACTTGAGAAAACTGAATCTCAGTGACAATACACTTGGAGACCCAGGAGTAAACCTGCTGTCTGGTCTCCTGGAGGATCCACAATCCAAACTGGGCAAACTATAGTGAGTGCCATTACCATATGGACTATTAGTCTCTATCAGCAGTGTTGGGGAAAGTTACTTTTAAAAGTAATGCATTACAATATTGCATTACTCCATAAAAAAGTAACTAATTACGTTACTTGGTTACTTTTTATGGAAGGTAATGTGTTACATTACTTCTGCGCTACTTTTTAAATCTGGACAGGGCTTGCTTGTTTGCTTTTAAAATAATAATATTTTTGGCAAATATAAAAGCCTTTTCACACCAAAAGTGAAATGAATAAGCCTCAGGCTGAAGGGAAAGTACATTTACGTCCGTACAGTAGAATGCAGAAGAAGAAATTTCAACACACTTCAGCAGTAATCAAAGACACACAAATGTTTGTCTAGAGTAATTTTTGCTTATTAGTACGGTTGAACTGGATCATCGAAGCTCAGAAGCAAAGACATTGGTTAATAGAATGGGATTAAATACATAAAGGATATTTGTGTTGTTTAACATGTAATTATTGCAGGTTTGCGTTATATTCTGAGTTGCATTATTTTTATTCATTTTGAGGAATACTGAATCTGTGTGTGTGTGAGTGTGTGTGTGAGATGAATTAATGCATATTCATATTTATTTTAGAACTACAGTAACATCTGATTTCTCTCAACATGGGGACAGGAGAGCTGTCAATCAATAAATTGAAAAAAAAGTAACTCAGATATTCTCTTGTAAATTAAAAAGTAATGCGTTACTTTACTAGTTACTTGAAAAAAGTAATCTGATTACGTAACTCGCGTTACTTGTATGTCAGTATGAAATTAATGCTTAGATGCCTTTAGATTTCACTTCAAAAATATCTAATCATCCCAAGAAGATACATTTACCTGAGAATAAAAATGTATACATGTATGTTTTTGCGAAACACATTTTTGCTGTTTGCAAAATGTATATTGATGTAAGGTTATTTTAACATTTTATTCTAATAAAAAATGATGCGTCTTATTTAATTATCATAGAAACTCAACAAAAAATATTATTCATTACATTTTGTTAATCTTCATCTATCAAATAATGTTTTGTTTTTGTTGACCTAAAAATATTAATCGTTTTTATATCTGTCTTTTTGCAGCCTTAATAACTGCAGTATTGGAGAGGAAGGTTTTGCTGCTTTGGCTTCAGCTCTAACATCAAACCCCTCACACCTTAGAGAACTAAACCTGGGTATGAACAAACCAGAAAATTCAGGAGTAAAGATGCTCTCTCATCTACTGGAAAATCAAAACTGCAAACTAGAGAAACTACAGTAAGTTTTTGATATTCACAATTTGTCTTTCTGTAATTGTTAAAGGGGATATCTAATGCTATTTCATGCATTCTGACTTATTTATATTGCCAAAGAGTTTGAGTCTCAAGCTAAACATGACCAGTCTCAAAAAATGAGCCGAACGTGTGTTAGAGTATTTCTGTGCCAAATACACTCCTTCAGGGTTCCTATAATTTTTGGAAAGTTTTTTCAAATATGTCCCTGTATGACATCATAAAGGGCGGAATTCCTTTTATGGGCACTTCTCCAGGAAGAGCATGTGCACACATCAACCAAAGTGGGAGTAATAGCACACCCATCAACATGCTTCATTCAGGTTATGGAAGTCGTCGGCAGTGCTGCACAGAATTTGCTCGAGAAGGATTTGTCATTTTGATTTTGACTGCAAAATTAACTACGTCACCAAAGAAGTGTGTTTTTATGTCTTTGTCCTTTAGCAATTGATGCACAAGCATTGCTGGTTATAGACTGTTCAAGTGGGAGCCCAGTATAAAATGTGTTCAGACAAAAATGTAAAATGTTAATTTAGGGTACAAGTACAGCATTTGACACATCATGCTTGTAGGTGAAATGTTTTATCTTTTCAGGTTGTTTAAGAGCAGCATTAGAGAAGAAGGATTTGCTCTTCTGATATCAGCTCTGAGATCAAACCCCTCACACCTGAGAGAACTAGATCTGAGTGGAAATGAACCAGGAGATTCAGGAGTGAAGGTGCTCTCTGATCTACTGAAGGATCCACACTGTAAACTGAAGACACTACAGTGAGTATAACAGTTATAGAAAAGAGTAAAACTACAGTTAGATTGCATAAAAGTAGGGTGAGTATACTTTTATGAAATCAAATCAAATATCATCTACCATGTTTCTTATGAATATTGTTGGCTCTGTAGAGAATTGCTTGTGTTTCTCTTTTAAAGGGGTCATATGATGTTGCTAAAAAGAACATTATTTTGTATATTTGGTGTAATGAAATGTGTTTATGCGGTTTAAGGTTAAAAAAAACACATTATTTTCCACATACTGTACATTATTGTTTCTCCTCTATGCCCCGCCTTTCTGAAACGCGTCAATTTTTACAAAGCTCATCGGTCTGAAAAGCGAGGTGTGCTCTGATTGGCCAGCTATCCAGTGCATTGTGATTGGCCGAATACCTCAAGCGTGTGACGGAAATGTTACGCCCCTTACCATATTATGATGCAGTGTCCTGGCCGGAGAGATTTAGAAGGCCAAACAAAGTAGTTTCGCTTTCACAACGAAACACACAGCGTCACACACGGCGGCCTACAGTGAGCGGCGGCCGGGGGCTAGAGTGAGGAGAGGCGGCGGCCAACGGATTCGACGAAGGAGTTGCTGACAGGCTTCCTGCAACCACATGTGATGACTCCGGGCTGGACTCCGCTTTGTCCATGGTGAAAGCCGATCCGGCGACCCACAGAGCGAAGTTTATGTATTTCCTCAGCGACCAGCACGGATCAGCTCCAGGCATGACGAAGCGGATATCGTCCTCTTTTGGAAGGCCTAACAAACTAGTTTCACTTTCACAACGAAGCATACACATAATTTTAAATCAAAGAGTTTTTTATTGATTTCATATTGTATATTACATTTTATATTTTACATTACAATTGTCTAGTATTTAACTGGCTCACATGTTAACTTGCTTTTATAGTTAAACTTGGTTTCAATTGGTGGTTGGTGTTTTGAATAAATGGTTGAAGAAAAAACTTCAAAATGTTATTTATGTGTATATGTGCTATCTTTAACTCTATATTGCATATATTTAATACAGGTAGATTCAAATTAAATTGAACATACATTTTAGCTGTGAAATAATAGAATAATAATAGAATTTAAGTAATTGTCATGAAACCTGGGTGTCATTTTAGTAAAGCTGTAATATGCAGTACTGACACCATCAAATTATGGTAAATATGGGACATTTACAGCTGAGTGTTCTACAGTGTAATCTCATTAACAAAGCAATGTCAAACATGACAATAGATGCACAACACTGGTAGTTCTCACTCACACACATCTGTGTGGTTCTCTATGCATGGAAACATGTCACAATGAACACTGCCGGAACATTCAGATACAGTTCATTAATTTGATTCAGCTGTTTTTCAGCTAGTACATCTTGATTACTGATGAACAATAACAACAAACGTATGGGAATTATGCGCAAACTAATGCCATTGTACTGCTGGGTAAGTAGCCCACCTGACTTGACCAAGTATCAATCTTCATAATTAACTGAATTTCAAAAATAAATATCCATGTCATATTTCATGTTAAAAAATAAAGAAATTAAATTTGTGTCTATTCTAGGATCTTTTGGACATGTTTATTACTGTAACACACATGTGAACATTATGCTATACAGATATTTTTTTTAGCTTAGCCATAATTCCTGATAACAAGTACTAGAAAGACGTTTAAATACCTTACAATATAATATTTCGAATAATATGTTAATACGAAATCAAAAGGTACTGAGAATGACTTTTACGGATGCAAAACAAAATCTTCATGGTCCTAAACACAGACCTCCTTTTCTTCATACTTTAGTTATTTTGTTTTCAGGGTGAAATATGAGTTATGTTTTTATTTATTTATTTTATTATTATTATTATTTATTTTTTTTGTCTGAGATTAACCTTAGTGCTTGGTATCACATACCGAACCTCCGTTTCAACTACTCACTTTGCAGACTGAAAGTGAAGATTCAGACTACTACGCACTACTTGCAGGCCGCTTTATGACCACATCACCCAAGCTAAAGCACGTATTTGGCGTCCCCCTTGGTTTTCTGAGGAAACAGGGACATATGCGGCAGGAGCATATGTCTGTGTGCTCCCTGTGGTGCTCCAACAGATGGTGGAGTTTTTGGAACAATATGGTAAGAAGAGCATAAGTGTTTTTGAAAGTGTTCTTCTTAGAGTAGCTATACTTGGAATTGTCAAATATATGCTGGGATTATTTGTTCCATTTGCATTTGTGTGTGTGTGCATGTGTTTGTGTGTGTGTGTGTATTTACGTCTCCATCAGAGTAAATTATTCCGTGCCAGTTGATCAGAGGCACGGTGCAATGAGTTGAAGAAAAGTTTGAATGGTGGCCTCTCTGCTGATTCTCTTCCTGCCTTATGGACTCATCCCATGGTGGAGTGCCAAATGGCTCCTGAGAGTCTATTCAAGTATGTTCACACTCCAGAATATTTATGTTATGAAGGTTTCTGCCTACACCTCCAAAACTCCAAATGTCTTTTTGTGTTCTTTACTCTATCATGCAGAAACCAAAGGAAAGGTTTTGGACCTTAAGCGTGCGAAGAAAGTCCTGGACAGTTTTGCACCGGAAATCTTCAATGTCCTGTGCTTGCTTATTCACTTCCTGTCTCGTGTAGCTGCTCAAAGTCATGCCAACCATATTACTTCAGAAGTCTTGTCTGAAGTTTTTGGACCCTGTGTCTTTCATTGAGTATTTGTGTGTGTTTATACTACGGGGGAATACCTATAAACTAAATTGATCTTTTAAATTATTAAAAGAATATAATCAGTAATTATACTCACTTGAGACAGGATACGGATTGTAAAGTTGTACTCCTTTTAACTTACCTTCGGATGTTTAGTCATGTTTATTTTGTGCTGAAACTGGTATTAATGTGGAGGAGATGATCAGTTCACGTGCGCCTCGCACTGCTGCGTCTGTTGAACGGAGGCGCTACAGCGATCTGTCACTCCACATTAAACAGCGCCAAAACATAATTTATTGTTTAAATACTGCAATACAATGGATAGAATTTGAAATCTGAGACTTTGTTTCATATTAAAAGTACCAAAGCACAATGCTTATTGCGATATATTGGATGGGAGGTGCCCTTCAATGTTCCACCCATTAACTGAAAACAGGCTAGACTAATCGATTCTTGGGATTTAAGAATCAATATCATTCCGTAAAAATGAGAATCGATTAAAATCGAGATATCAATATTTTTTACCCAGCCCTAGTTACTGCACATAAAAACAAACACTTTACAGCTGAAGGTAAAGGAAAAAGTGAGTCCTGAGAACAGAACGACTGCAGAGATTGATGTTGAACTGTCTGACAGCGACACGGAGCAGAAACAGCAGGAAACGCTGATGAGCCACAGCACAGAAGATCACGGCATGCCCAGTGACTGCGAATCTAACAACGGTCAGTGCCGACTGAAACATCACATCTGTGAATGAAATGCAGCTCCTATGAGGGCTGGACTTTGAGGTCAGGAGTTCACGAATTAGAATTTTGCTCAACTGATGACTTTTTAAAAACTAAAATTGCATATTTGTCAGGAAAATTGAAGACTGTCATTGAACGTCATTTCATTTTAGAGAGAAGGTAGACATACACCATATATAGTGTTAGATGTAAATATTTTTCACTCTAAAATAGTAATACTTTGATATCATCGACAAAATAATTGCAAATATGTTGTAAATATTCAATATCGCCCAGCCCTACTTCTTTGGATCCGTCCTGAAACTGTATTTACTGCAGCACATCTGCGAACACATCCTGAGCTCATCGCTCGATACCTGATTAAGTTCATATTCCCAGAGGATGTGCTGGTGTGCAGTAACGTGTACAGCGCGGCATTCAGGCCCTCGACCACGGCAGGATGTACCTGATGGCCTCAGTCTGCTTTGGTCAGCGGAGAACCGCTGGGCAAGTTCTCCACCGTGTCGCCGACAGGCCGGCCTGGGACATGGGGGCGTTCAAAGATCGTGTCTTGTCCGTCTCGCGCATGTCAACCAGTCACAGCCAGAATGGCGCTCCAGGACCACCATAGTGGACATCGCATGACCCAGAGACCGCGCTGTAACCTTCATTGCTCGTGGCGCGAGGTCCGCCGCGGTGCGGAGTTCTCTGCGAACTTCCGGGTCGTGACCACCCTCGTGCAAGTCCCTCAGTGCCTTGGCCTTGTGCACTTGCAATCACGCCGTAGCGTGTAAGGCAGCTTCTCCACAGGTCGTATAGGCATCACTGGCCAGTCGAGTACCTACAGACCCGGGAGGGGAGGCCGTAACCCCCTAGCTGCCTCACCATCGAGGGTGGCGAGGGAGGAGGATCCAGCAAATCAGTTTCCGGCAGTAAAAAGGTGCCGTCCACGAACTGTTGAGCTCCTCATGCACCTCCAGGAAGAAAGGCACCGAGGCGGGGTGCTGAGAACCAGCGCGGACCACCCCGAGAACCAATCGTGCAACCTTGAGGGCTCGGGACACGGTGAAAGTCTTCACTCGAGCCCTACCCCCTACGGCGGCCCGGGAAAGCATAGCCATTATTTCTGGATCTGGATACCTATAAACTAAATTGATCTTTTAAATTATTAAAAGAATATAATCAGTAATTATACTCACTTGAGACAGGATACGGATTGTAAAGTTGTACTCCTTTTAACTTACCTTCGGATGTTTAGTCATGTTTATTTTGTGCTGAAACTGGTATTAATGTGGAGGAGATGATCAGTTCACGTGCGCCTCGCACTGCTGCGTCTGTTGAACGGAGGCGCTACAGCGATCTGTCACTCCACATTAAACAGCGCCAAAACATAATTTATTGTTTAAATACTGCAATACAATGGATAGAATTTGAAATCTGAGACTTTGTTTCATATTAAAAGTACCAAAGCACAATGCTTATTGCGATATATTGGATGGGAGGTGCCCTTCAATGTTCCACCCATTAACTGAAAACAGGCTAGACTAATCGATTCTTGGGATTTAAGAAT